AAATAAAGTATCATTTACTATTCCATCAACAAAGTTTCAGGAACAGATTTTAGAATTATACAGTTGTATTGGGTGTAACTTTAAAAAACTGTAACATTTCCAAGGATTGGAAGACCAGATATTTAAGATTTCAGTCCTCTCCAAATTGATCTATAATTAATACAGTCTCAGACACAATTCAAGCAAGTTTCTTAGTGGTTATTTGTATCATGCTTCTAAAATTTATATGAAAATTCAAGCAGCCAAGAATAGCCAAAACAGCTATAAGGAAGATGAACCGAACTGCAATAGTTGCTCTAGCAAACACTTTTAGTAATTACAGAGTTACTTCCATTGAGATGTGTGATGGAAACAAGAGGATCCAATAAGCTAAAAAGGTCGAAAGAAACAGTCTGCAGAAACATGGTAATCTCATCACTGATGAGGGTGGGCTTTCCAATAATCCATGCCGATTAGATAACGTTATCATGGAAAGAAGGTAGCTTGACTAAGAGCTGAGGAAAAATCACAAAAGTAAGCTCCAGATTGATCACAGATTTACAGTTTTGTGGTCTTCGAAGATTTCTTAAACCAAAAAAGATGGCATGCTCCCCACAAAAGGATCTCCAGCTTGCAGAAGCTCAGGTCCTGTCTCTAGCAATGTTAGGCAGCCTTTTTCATGACAGAGAGTACAAAAAGCCTAAACAAACAGAATGTCCATAGTCACCTCCCTAATGTCAAGCAGTTAGATGCTTTGACATCTGTGAAGAACAGGAAATCAAGACGCAGAGAAGGAATCAGAAAGCATACTGAATGCACAGTATCTTTGAAAGAGTTCGTATTACTCAGGCTATTACTGCGGTACATGCCTGTGGGAAGGTTTAATAGAAAAAGGGTTTGAGTTTTGTTTTCTACAGTTTCACTCATGGTCTGCTTTGCTCATCATGCCTGAGCCTGTGGTAGGGCAGAGCACCATGGTGGCTGTGTGTGGTAGAGCACCCATTAATCTCATGACAGTCAAGAAACAAAGAGATGAGAAAGGGAAGAGGGAGAAAGTACACTCCTACAGACCATCTCCAATGACCTACCTCCTCTAACTAGGCCCTTCAAGTTTCTGCCACCTCCCAAAATAGCATCCCCAACTGAGGACCAAGCCTTCAACACAGGAGCCTATGAGGCATTTGTTCCATGTTCAAACCAAATGGAAGGTAATGAAATAAAGAACTATAGAATTATAACCAGGATAGCAGAAATTTTGAGTCAGGTGTAGATTAGAAGAAAGGACATCTGATAGGTAGGATTTTAGTTGGGGGGGGTGGTAGAGGAGGAAGGGAGGGAGAAGAGAATTGGGATCGCCATGTTATTCAATCTTGTTTGTAATTCAAATATATAAAAAAGAAAAAAGAAAAAAAAGAATTATAACCAGGATAGACCAAACTCAGGAAATACACAGACATCTGGCAACTCAGTCTTCTCCCGTCAACCCTGGATGCTACAAATGATGCCATTTGTCCAATTCCTTCCTCTAAGCTATCAAAGAGTTGTGTTTTGGTTTTTGGTTTTTTTTTCTTTTTAAGAAAAGCACTTCTCACAGATTGTTCTCTCTAAACCAACAGAAGACCTGCACACATAGAAGGGAAGTAGAGCCAATGTTGGTGAGATCTCACTATCTGTGGAGAAGAGGAAAAGTCTTGTGCAGTTGTAGCCAGGATGTCTAAGACCAGAGAAGTGATTCTTCATGAGAACAAACATCAAATTTAAGTCTCAGCCTTTCAAATTAGATATTACAAGGTTTAATTAAATCCTTTGCAAATAATTGATTCCTTCCTGTGTTGAAAACTCTGTCCTTTTTACTCAGTCTTGAAGGGAAAAAGAAAAATGGCACTGCTTTCATGAAAAAAAAAAATCATTTCAGCAAAAAGCTTTCTTTCTTTTTAAAATTTCATTTCATATGGATGGGTATTCTACCTATGTGTATGTCTGTGCACCACGTGTGTACCTGGTGCTGATCGAGGCCATAAAAGAATGTCAGCTGCCCTGGAACTGGAGCTACAAATAGTTGTGAGTTGCCATATGGGAGCTGGGGATAGAACCTAGGCTCTCTGGAAGAGCAGCCAGTGCTCTTAACCACTGAGCCATCTCTTCAGCCTAAGGCTTTCTCGTCTTTGATTTGTTTTCATTTAAAAATTGTCTTGATTTTTAAGAGCCCAAAGTTATGTAGTTAGTAAAGTGCCCAGACAATCTTCACCTTCAGTTAACCAGAAGACAGTCTTCACCCTCAGTTAACCAGACTGTAGTTTTCCTACAGCGCTTATTTTCTAAATGACAATCATTCATTAGGGAAATTAGGTGGCAAAATGAGTTCTGAGGTCTGCAAGTTAGTGAGGCTGGAACATAGGAAAATGATGGGAAGTAAGAACATCTATCCACCCTTGATTGCACTGTGGAGTTACCGAAAAGTGGAAGGCACTGTATTATTGAATTAGGAAATTCTGACTCTGTTTCCAGAATCCACATTTTCTGACATCTCAGTCAGTGGCAGTTTACAATATAAAAGTAAAGACAGACACGATGCAGAGTAAAGTTTTTAAGTAGACATATAATAAAATGAGCTCTCTTGACCATGACTTTATTGAGCTCAAGCATCATTTGCAATAGCATAAGGGATTTGACTTCTCATGTCTGTCCTCTGGCTCTTACGGAGGAGGCCAGAGTAATCCAAACACAGGCAACTACATTTATTTCATTTGTTTTATCATAATCTTGAAAGTAATAAATAGATACTTCCACTCAATATAATTGATTCGGATCTAAAATACACCCAAAGCAGGATTCAAGGAAGCCAGATAAATAGAGCTATTAAGACAAATGAAAGACATAAAATTATGTTTCCTGTGAATTAAGATAAATCTGTCAGATGGTAGAAATCATTTCTCTAAATCCAGCATGCTTCCAATGTATAAAAGTTGTAATTGCAATTTTACTGTGATGTTCAGAGGAGGATGACGAACATGCTGAATATCTCTCCAAAGAACCCTGAGGTCTGTTGCTCTCTCCTCATTAAACAAACTTGGAGAAAAACAAGCGAGAAAATGAAGGGGTGCTGGCAGACAAACACAGGGAAAGACAGAAGTTACATGTGACAAGAAATGGGGAGAAGAAGCAGCAGCCTAGGAAAGAGCTCACAGACTAGGGAGCACCAGCTAACTCTGTCACCATCTCATGGCTGGGGAGGTAAAGCTCGGGATGTGATGATTGATAACTGAACATCTACAAGAGACTTCTCTCTGTTTCCACTATGAAAGGTGAGACAGGGAACTTCCATAGACACCACTGTGTGCCAACACCATGCACAAACCAAGAAGCTATTTTCTTTCATTGGAATGTGCAAACCTGTCAAAATAATTTACATCCTCTTCTGCAGTCCTACTATTTATAAAATATCCATTATTTTGCTTTAGTCATCCTCTCTATACTAAAAGCTGTACAAAGACTCTGATGATTAAAGAGCCTAATGTCTTTTTGAATGATTATATTTATTATTAAACATGATATTTAAATATTAATTTTAAAGGTGACATTGAAATATTTTGATATATCTCATGTTTAATTGATTTTTTAAAAGTTTTGGGACAGGAGAGATGGCTCAGCAGTTAAGAGTGTGTACTGCTCTTTCAGAAAGCCAGAGGTCTGTTGGGTACAACCTGTAGCAAGCTTTCTTTTTGGACTATCTTTCGATCACCAGCTCCCAAATAATGACACAGAGACTTACTAATTATGAGGGTCTAAGCCTGCCCCCAACTAGCTCTTATAACTTAAATTAATCTGCTTGTGTTAATCTAGTCCTACCACATAGTTTTCACCTTTCTTTAGTACGGCATGTCTGACTTTCTCCAAGTCTGCTGGTGTCTCCACCTTTCTTCTTCCCAGAGTCCTCTCTGTCCCCAGAAGTCCCTTCTAATCTCTTCCTGCCTAGCTATTGGCCATTAAGCTCTTTATTAAACCCATCACAGTGACACATCTTCACACAGTGCAAAGAAATATTCCACAACATTGACCTATATCAGATGGCTGACAACCAGCTGTAACACAGCTCCAGAGGCTCTTACACGCTCTTCTGGCCTCTGCTGGCACAACACATACATACAGATACCCACACACGGAAACACACACACACATACACACACACACACACACACACACACACACACACACACACACGCTTATCTACACAATTTAACACACACACAATTTAAAATATAAGAAAATAAACACACAATTTAAAATATAAAAAAATCTTTTTAAAATGATTTGTCACAGCCTCTGATTGTTCCCTAACAGATTTTCCTTTGGGTTCAGTGACTTATGTGCATGTGAGATAATGGTGTCTTCTAAATAAAGTACATGATAAAATGATTGATAGATAAGTAGTAATATTGATTATAGATGTATAATAGATACTATATAAATGACAGACGATACAGATAATAGATAAATGATAGATATAGATAGATAAATGATAGGCATAAATAGAGATGGTAGATATAGGTAGGTAGATGATAGATAGATAGATAGATAGATAGATAGATAGATAGATAGATAGATGGGGATGAAGATGCATTTGGAATTCACTGAATAATCATTTCTGCCCCTACAGGAACTGAAGAGGAAGATGAAGGAGATGATTGTCTTTTGGGGTCTGTGGATGAGTTCTGGTGGTTTCCGCACATGTGGAGTCACATGCAGCCCCACCTCTTCCATAATGAATCATCTTTAGTGGAGCAGATGATTCTCAACAAAAAATTTGCCTTAGTAAGTAACTCAAACTGACTAATTCACTGAACTCATGGACAGTAGTGAGGGGAGTAGCAAGGTGTGTGAACTGGAAACTGCCCCGAGGTTTTGGTGTGATGGGTTTCCTTGTGCAGCTTTTCCCAGTCACCATTAGAATCATGGCAGTATGTATATCCCATGTATGGCTCTTGTGTTTTTACTGTGCACTCATCACTGGGTTTACTGGTTTAACAGGTTTAATTTAAGAGAGACTTCATAAAACACAAAGTTCAATTCCATGGCATTATGGTCAGCATTCATAACTGGTACACTGCCCTGAGAAACAAAATGTACACACGAAATAAGTTCATAGCAGAATGAGATATTCTGTGATCACGTGTCATGTTATAAGAATGCAAGCCCCCAGTTCAGTGAATAATTGTCATGGAGGTAGGAAAGAATAAGCTGTGGTAGAATTGGGACTCAGTATACCCAGAAATTCAAACAAAACTAGGGTACCATAATGGATTGAAATGAGATTGGGGTAACAAAACAAATGGGACATGATAAATCAGACACAAGTCAAGTCAATGAAGATTCAGGAAAATGATGAAGAGATATTGCAAACTCGATAGGATAGAACATTTGCTCGTCAGAAGAAAAGTACACTGGCTTAAACTGAAGGTGCTATGACTTTGGAACTGAGAAACTTACAGTAAAACTTCTAATAAGTACTGTATGAAGGAAAATAAAATCCATGTACATGGAATGGTGTTCTATGCCAGCTGCAGAAGCCAAAAAGTTTTTGCTATCAATACTATTGTTCCTTACTCAGACTTACTCACAACTCAATTAAAATTAGCAGATTGTGTTTTTGTTTTAAAGATACATAAAATCTAACTCTTTCCAGGGAGCACTGGGATTCATGTTTGTCTTGAATTAAAATCCTACTTCTCCAAACAGTTTCAAGGGCATTCTTACTCACTGATATTTGACAAGAAAGCAAGACTGGGGCTTTTCAGAGCTTGTATAAGGACAGGACTTTGACATCTGCAGACTTTTGTGACATGAGAGTTGCTTTTCCTCCTGAAACTATAAGTGGCCATGACCATGTTAAATTGAGTAACCACTGCCACACATTGTCATAGAAGTGAAAGCTCTCAGTGCTCTCAACAGCAGTGTTGGTCAGTGAGAGGTGGAATGGACAAAAAAAACGTGACTACAAGTGCTGCACAAATCTATTGAGAACAGCACAAGGGAACCTGGGAGAAGGAAATGTGAAAACGCAGCACTGTAAGGCATGAGTGAAAGCAATGAAGATAGGTATTTTCTCTTACTGTTGTTTTAGTTACCTTTAAAAAGTAGACTGTTACTTTGAAACTTAAACAGGTTGGCTGGCAGAGCATTGGCTGTTCTTACAGAGGACCAATGTTCAATTGCCAGCGTACACATGATGGCTCATAACCATCTGTAATTTCAATTCCAGGGAACCCAAGGCCCTCTACTGACATCTGGGGACACAAGGAATGTATGTAATGCACAGACATACATGCAGACAAAACAAATACACTCAAAAAATAAAATAGTAATAATTTGATTGTCAAGGAAACTAGAACAGTATGAACTGACCAGAGGCATCTACCACTAATACTTGAATCAACCGATGGATGGCAACACTATGCTCATAGTCAAAAGAGTATTAAATATTTGAAAATAAGCAGTAAAAACATACCTGTGTGGGAGTTTTAAGCATTGTTCACAATTTCATCCTAAATTATAAGAATCATTCAAAATTGAAATCTTGTCATTATTTTGGTTTGTTTTGATTTGTTTTTTATTTAAATTAGAAGCAATCTTGTTTTACATGTCAATCCTAGTTCCCTCTAACTCCCTTCCTCCCCTGTCCCCAACCAACCCCCTCTCCCATGCCATTTCTGCTCCCCAGGGAGGGTGATGAATTCAAGGGAGGATCTTCAAAGTCTGTCATACCATTTGAAGAAAAGCTAGGGGTCCATGAACTCGCCCTTGTTCAGATGAGCTGTTTCTGTGGGTTTCTCCAGCCTGGTCTTGACCCCTTTGCTTATTACTCCTCCCTCTCTGCAACTGGATTCCAGGAGTTCAGTTCAGTGTTTAGGTGTGGGTGTCTGCTTCTGCTTCCATCAGCTACTGGATGAAGGCTCTAAGATGGCATATAAGAGAGTCATCAATCTCATTATTGGGGAAGGGCATTTAAGGTAGCCTCTCCTCTGTTGCTTAGATTGTTAATTGGTGTCATCCTTGTAGATATCTGGACATTTCCCTAGTGCCAGATTTCTCTTTAAACCTATAATGGTTCCTTCTATTATGGTATATCTTTTCTTGCTCTCCTCTATTCTTCCAACTCAACCTTCCTGCTCCCTCATGTCCTCCTCTCCCCACCTCTTCTTCCCTTCTCTTTCTCCTAGCTCCCTCTCCCCTCCCCCATGCTCACAATTTGCTCAAGAGATTTGTCCCTTTCCCCTTGGACCATGTATGTCTCTCTTAAGGACCCCCTTGTTTCCTAGCTTCTCTGGTGGTGTGGATTGTAGGATGGTAATCCTTTGCTCTGTGTTTAATATCATATATGAGTGAGTACATACCATATTTGTCTTTTTGTGACTGTGTTTTCTCACTCAGCTCCATCCATTTGCCTATGAATTTCAAGATTCCATTGTTTCTTTCCACTGAGTAGTCCATTGTGTAAATGCACCACATTTGCTTTATCCATTCTTCAGTTGAGGGGCATCTAGGTTGCTTGCAGGTTCTGGCTATTACAAATAATGTTGCCCTAAACATAGTTGAACAGATGTCCATAGAGTATAAATATACATATTTTGGGTATATGCCTAAGAGTGGAATTGCTGGATCTTGTGGTAGACTGATTCCCATTTTCCTGAGGAATCACCATACTGATTTCCAAAGTGGCTGTACAAGTTGGCACTCCCACCACCAGTGGAGGAGTGGCCCCTTTCTCCACAGGCTCTCCAGCATAAACTGTCATTGGTGATTTTGATATTAGCCATACTGACAGGAGCATGATGGTATCTCAGAGTTGTTTTGATTTGCATTTCCCTGAAAGCTAAGGATATTGAGCAATTTCTTAAGTGTCGTTCAGCCAGTTTAGATTCCTCTATTGAGAATTCTCCTTTTAGTTCTGTACTCCACTTTTTAATTGGATTGTTTGGTGTTTTGGTGACTAGCTTCTTGAGTTCTTCCTGTATTTTGGAAATCAGCCGTCTATCAGATGTGGGGTTGATAAATAACTTTTCCCATTCTGGGGGCTGCTGTTTTTGTCTTGTTGACTGTGTCCTTTGTCTTACAGAAGCTTTTTAGTTTCAGGAGGTCCCATTTATTAATTGTCAATATCAGTGTGTCTGCTATGTTATGTTCAGGAAGCACTCTCCTGTACCACTTTGTTAAAGGGTACCTCCCATTTTCTCTTCTAAGATGTTCAGTGTGGCTGGATTTATGTTGAGGTCTTTGATCCATCTGGACTTAAGTTTGTTCATGGCGATAGATATGGATGTATCTGTAGTCTTCTACATGCCATCATCCAGTTATGTCAGCGCCATTTATTGAAGATGCTTTCTTTTTTCCATTGTATAACTTCAGCTTCTTTGTCAAAAATCAGGTGTTTGTAGGTGTGTGGTTTAGTATCACAGTTTTCAATTCTATGCCATTGGTCTCCTGTCTATTTTTGTGCCAGTACCAAGTTGTTATCAGGACTTTAGCATTTTGAAAGAGCTTGAAGTCTGGGATGATGATGCTCCCAGAAGTTCCTCTT